CATCTAATCCATAATGTACACACGTCTTGAAGGAGATGAAAACCTGACTCAAAAGGCCTGTCCTCATCAGCTCGAGACTGCCAAATAGCCCCCTATTTCTGATTTAGGAAATAATCCTGAAGTTACAAATAGCGTCTTGATCAGACCTCAAAATTTGAAACACAAGCTCGAGAAATTAGCTCGAGATATTTTGCTCAGCGTTCACGCATACTGTAGTGCGAGTCTTCGGGCTGGTGAATACGCACCAGACAAATAGCGGGATATTTTGCAAACTAACCTAAGATATCTTGGGATGATTATCTGTCTTACCACCTTCAAAAGATCCCTCAAAACTCACCTTTTCCCCCAATGATCTATGTGATATACTTCCTGTACTGTACATTTTTGTCCTCTTTTCATATATTTGTATTGTAAGCGCTCCTAAATATTCGATATTATCCCGACCAAATATCCCGCTAATCACAACTTCGGGCTGATGAAGAGCGAATTAACTGGATAATTTGCGATCAGGATGGTTCAAATAGCAGGTTATTTGGCAGTCTCGAGCTAATGAGGACAGGCTTAAAATTAGCTCTAACGGTTAACCTACCCTTGGGATGTGATACAAGGTTTTTAAGGGTTTTTCTTCTGGAGCTAGAGGTTAAGGTGTGAACAAATATTACAAGAAAATGAATTTACAGATTGATTTGATATATTCATTCTTTACATGAATATAGTAAGATATTTATAAAATGTTGGATGGTGAAAATACAAGAAAAGAATAGTCATTCATTTTTATAATTTGACAACCATTGCCCCCCCCCCCCTCTGCATAATCATAATCATAATTTGGTCACATACAGCATAATTTTAGGCAGTACCGGTAAGCATCCAGATTTTCCATATATGCTGTAATTGTTGGGAAGTTTTTAGGCCTACAATTGATATTCTCCTGTCAGTAGGGCATGCTGTCTTTATTACATGTACATTTGACAATAAATGCACACAAACCTGCGCTTCCATTGTAATCCTTAGATTGTCTAATGCACATGTACAAACTGTACATGTTCAATATATTCCACAAATAATTACATGCATTATAATACTACATAATAAATACAACATGCATAGTCTACATGTACATGTACGTCAGTGAAATGCACAGTAAATAATGTTGCTATACAAAAAATAGGACTATTGAGTGAATGCTTCCATGACTAGCCTTTTGAATTCAATTCTCTCCTTTTAGCCCAATTAATTTCTAATCTCATAATGCTTCTATTCATGTGATATGTCATTGCCTGCTCTCCGAGGCTCTCCGCTGGTTTAGATGGATAGATATGACGTTAATAGGCAAATTACTATTCATACCTGTTATTTGGTGAAGAAGTAAAAGGCATCGTGAGAATGCAGGAAAGAGGGGCTTTGTGTAAAGCCTCTGTAAATGAGCTGCTTTAGAAAAGCAGATAGATAGAGGGGCAGAATATTGATTGGTTGTTTAGGGAATAGCCTTTTCGTGATGTCCGGAACGCACAAGATGTGCTGCTTTTGAAATCTGAATGTCCGTTTATCTCTAATCGCTAGGAGATGTGGAGGAGCGAGGTCGTCTTTAATGATCACGTTTTGGATGGATAGTGATTAAAGCACAAGAGTGATTTTTCTTGCTTATTGATGAAAGAAAGTATTTAAGGACTCTGCTTTGTATTTCTTTTTATTTGTCAAGACATTTGTTATACATGTAGCCTACGTTTATTTAAAAACGATAAATTTGTAATGCTCCCTGCAAATGTGCTTCCGTCTATTCAGGAAAAGAATGTTTAATCGAAACCAATTTTGTACCATACTATAGAAAATAATGGCAATTGGAGAAGATTATTGGTAATCTGACTTTATTGAAATGTAGTTAGCAATCAGAACTTTGAGGAGTCTTTGTTGAGGGGGGGGGGGGGGCTGAAAATTGGGAGTTTCCTATTGAAAAAAGGTAGTCAAAGACATAAAATGGATGATAGAAAACCAGGCATCTGCACTTTCATTTGTATGCCTGTACATGTGCCGTTTTTCTGCAGCTTGCACACTTTTGGGACCCCCCCCCCCCTTCGCACCTCTATAAGTCCGGTGACATCATTGAAAGTACATAAATGCCATTTGATGGCATTGCTCCTCGTTTATCATCGATTGTTCAGGGGGGTAAAAACGTTGATGCAAATCTCGCTCCAGCGCATGCAGCAGCAGCAGCAGCAAGCAAGCAGAGGCACCGACAAGCCTCTGTGGCGGCTCTTGTGATGCCTCGTCACGGATGGGATAAACTGCAACTTAGAGGACCTAATTACTCCGGTCAATTATCTGCCATGTTTATTGAGTCATAGTACTTTTGGACAGGGTATCGAGGTTAACGACTTAACCAATGTGGATATAATCAGATTGGCTAGTTCGTTAAGAGACCTGGGAACCAACCATAGGCTATGCGTTTGTTTCTAATGTCAAAGTGTACACTTGCTATAAAACGAGTATCATGTATCGCTCAATATTGCTCGGTGGACATGAAAATAAATATTGCACATGTAGTTAATTAGGTGTTATATGCGTAACTAAATTGATTTGCAAGTAGAAGTGCAGCGGGAACCAATTATTGTAAAGTGATCTAGAATTGCATATGAACAACCCCTTAATGAGCAGGAACATGATTGATGGGCTGAAGTTAATAGCTTTGTATTTATAAGTACTGAAAGTACATGCGTGTTTATGAAATGTTCAGTATTGCACCATATTGACAATCAAATTGAAAGAGCGAACTTGTAAAATATTGATTAATTTTGTTCATAGTGGAATATAATTTTCTACTTCATTCGTTCTATCAATAGTCTAATAATTGGGTTAAAAGAAGTTACCAGAATTGTATGCATTCTGTCATGTTGTTAAAGTGAATAGAGGAGATAGTGAATTCTACCCTAGCTTCAATATTGATGGACTGCTTTTAAATCGTAATTTCATAATCAAACTGTATTAGTCATTTTCCCATTTCTCCCACAACCAATGTTACAATGTAACCTTTTGTCTACCGGTATATGAGAATCAGGTGGTTCCCCCCTCCCCCCCCCCCTGATTTAAGCCTATGGTAATGAGAGAATTTGACTGTCAATGGGTTAATATTATATACCAACAAATAACAAGTCTTTCTCTGAATTTTTAAGGGTTAAACAATCTGCCCCGAAATTTTCCTGTCATCTGTTCACATGTTCTTAAACCTAGACTGTACAGGAGCCATTTCATGTAGATTTTATCCCAAATTATGCGCCAGGCAAGTTTAATTTGGGTCAGACCCACACTCCGATCTAAAGCCCTCTCCCACCGGACCATGTGCAGTAAAGCAAGCCAATCTGTCTTATCATCATGATCGAGCACTTAACAGCCATGTCAGTTCCATAATTATAGAAAAGGTCTCCGCCATGTTCAATGCCTGGCCTGGTGCGCATCTACACAGCCGAAAGCAAGCTTCGCCTGTAATTGGAGTAAAGCGAACAGGATGTCAGTCCCAAGTGAATTTATTCGCTTTTTTTCTTCTTCCCTGGAATATTTTTGCTGCTCATGGACTGGTTTTATCTGTTTGATTATAATATGAATTTATAAGAGTTTTATTTTTGTAGGGTAGTTCCATTTAAGCCAAGAATGGGAAAATTTGGTTGCCTGCTTTTTCAAGATAACCCTTCATAATTGACATAGAATAGTAGAGTTTTTGTTGAAAATAAATCAATACAGACCTACACAATAGTGAAATGGTTGAAAGATATCCTAACCAAGCACAATGAAACCAAGGCCAATAGCCTATTTATATGGATTTATGTTTTTTTTAAAAATCTAACGTGAAACCAATCAATTCTAGATAATAGATAAGAATAAAAAGGTCCAAGCATTATATTTTTCTAGGATATGAAAATGATTTATCTTTATCACTATCTAGAATTTCTTATTACTGCGGAGCGTGGAAGAATTTTCATATAAGTCCTAATTCCCCTATTGATACATTGATTTATTGTTGTGTATTTGTTGTTGTTGAGGGGGGGGGGGGGACTTTTTAAAAATTTTGTTTAATTTTATGATTCTTCTCTACCACCCAAAGTAAAATACAGCACATTGTACGATTGTATACAGTACATACACTGTATGCAGGAGTGCTACACGGTTTACCAGTACTTGTACACTGTAATTATCTAGTGTTTTAAAATATTATAAGAGTACATGTAAGCCTCGCTTTAAGTTCCTTTTTCAGTCTCTTTTTTCCAGTTAGCCTTGTACTCTCCTCTTAAGAGACATCTTCACAACCTACCTTTCTCTGCTATTAATGTCTTGCCATTTTCTTTTACCGCCACTCTTCAAATTGGCACAGATTGCAATCTCCGTCAAACCACATCAGTAAAATGTATTAAACGAGCATGCAGGCTTCTGCAGGCTGGATACATGCACATTTGCGCTCGGCATAATGAGGTGTACTTTTTGTGTGCGATCCACATTTCATGTCACAAGAGTATATTGACATAAATCTCTCCTCTCTCTACTTTTTTGTACACTCTGCATCAAGGGGATAGCCTACATTTCTCTAGAGGTTAATTATTTTGCATGAAAACCTAAAATAGTTCCCACAAATATTTGCTTGATCGATCAAGCAGATAGTCTATAACTGAAAGTGTAATGAAGCAAGATAATATATTATGATTAGGGTTCCGGAAAAAGGAAAATTTGTAAAATTCCCAGAATGAGCGATAGTTGTGCTAAATTTCCATTTGGAACCTGTACATGTAATGTATGTCAGGTATCAAATGAAAATGGTTAGCATTTGTAGTAAACTAATTATATGATTTTAACCATGTATCTTAATCTTGCATGCAACACATTTTTATTAAAATCATGTGATTCCATATATGAAATATTGTCTTCAGAGGTGCAAGCACATGTTTATGTTGCCACTTGCGAATCGATGTGTAAAATTTAAATTTTTCCATGTTTATTGTTTTATTTTTGTACAGATCATGTTGGAGGAACGCTATTGCAAGGCCTGTCCACATCCAAGCAGTCATCATTTTTCTCCAGTCTATTTGTTCATTCAGCATCAACAACAGTAACAACTACAACAACAGTATCCAGCACAATATCCTCACCGTCATCATCCTCAACATGTAGCATTCCAGTTACTACAGTGGAACAATTTCACAATGCCGTGAACGAGAGCATCTCGACCACACCCCCGGCCCCGCCCAAAAAGCGGCACTGTAGATCGTTGTCGGCCGGGGAGGTGACGGAAGGCAGGTCGAGATGGAAGCCCAACGCATCAAAGATCTGGCGCCCGTTCCGTCACTGCCGCGCCAAGCTAGACGCTTACCAAGGCCACTCGCCCATGCTAAATGTGAGTAGCTTAGACTTTTCGGCCATCCCAAGCACGACGCTGAACCTGGCAGGGGACAGCGCAGACCCCATGAATCAGTATTCCACGCCCCCGGAGTCGCCGATACCGCGACCCGCATCGGCGACCTCCTGGGAGAACACCGCCAATCCACCGGTGTGGCTAGAACAGACTTCTTTCAAACCGCTTACATCACCGCGGCTCTGGCACAGGCTACGATCCTTGGAGGACGCCGAGAAGGAGGGCCTGTCGGTCAGCTCAGGGTCTGTCGCGTCCCTCACAAGCAGTGTGGACTCTGCTCCGGAGGTAGACTTGACCAGCAGTGGAGGATTCGCGAGAGGAACTTTTAAGAAAGCAGTAGTAATGCCAAGATGCAGGTCGCAGCCTTGTGTCTCGAGTAGGAAAAAGTGCGGCAAGAAGAGGCGGAGAGAGGAGGAACCGAGACCAAAGTTAGATCTGTTCAAGATGAGAGAGGTATGTTTGCAAATTTTTGTCATTGGTTATCGATACCCACAGCTAAGCAGAGGATCTATCAGATACTTCATCAAAATGTAAATGTCCAATTTGAATCGTTTTGAAAGCAACAAAATTTATGGACATTTCCATTGAAATTTTAAAATCGTGATTGAAGCGGCAAATGAACATGTATTCTGAATAATTCCAAAAAATTCAACTGGAGGCTCAAAAAGCTTGGTTGCTCCATGGTTTTGACTGAAATAGGCGGTTGATTTGATTTTGAATTGGACCGTATCATAATGAAATCAGCTTTGCAATTTCTGCATCGCTGATTCTTGCTATGTTTCCTCTCATCTTGCTGAAAGTTCATTGTGCTGTTGAGCCGTACCACTTTGTTCAAAGTGGGTTACAGAACAAAGAAATGGACTAAGTACGCATTACTTGACTCTCATCCAGCCAAGCATGCATACGAAACATGAAGATGCACACTAGCACATTTCCAAAAAGCTCGCTAGAGGCATGGAGTTAAACTTAAAGAGGAAGCTAAAAGCAACGGTATTCCTTGAAGAAAATGGGACAGGATTATATTTGTTTGGTGGGAAGAGGGATTTGCATTTGGATAAATCAGGCTGTGAATGAAATGGCCTTTATGGAGAAGTAACAAGTGTGGGTCTGTTCTGACAGCCCTTGAAAACTGAAATGATCATGCTGTATGTGTACATTCTGCTCAGCTGAGCTAATCTGTTTTTGCTTATTTACTTCAGTCTCATGTTTCCCGGTCAGCATCAGAATGACCTATGGACAATATGAATTTTCCTTCTTTAATCTCCTTTCCAGTTTGAAAGTTTAGATGAACCTGGGGGTGTTTCACAAAGACTAAGATTGACTTTATGTTGGACTTAACTATGGCAGGCCATTAAGGCCACAATTTTCTCTCACCATTTACTGGCATTGGTCTCTCAAGGGACGTACAAATAATGGTCACAAATCTACAGAACTTACATTTTTTGATAATTCAATATAGAAGGAAAAAAGATCATAATTGAGAGACCAATAGTGAGAGCAACCAGTGGCATGAACGGCCTGCCATAGTTAAGTCCAACTTAAAGTCGATCTTAGTCTTTGTGAAACACCCCCCAGATGAAGTTAAGGTGTATGACCCACTTTCCTGGAGATGCATTCATAGTATATGTACCTACAGATGTGTCAGGAGATAGTTTACTACATGTATGAAACCTGATATCTCATAAACACCAGATGACATTTATTTATTATTCATGGGCCTGTGACACTCGCGCTGAACGTCCACGGTTCAGCGATGGCACCACCTCCAAGATGGACCCAATGAATGTTTCAAACAAGCTTTGACGTTTATTTTAATTAGGCCGACAGAGCATATATATCAATCAATTTATAGGATGGCACCAGTACATGTATGTGTGTCCAGTTTATAAGCCTACTTATGATGCCCTGAAAAATCCATGAGCACGGTACATATAAATTAATGCCAAGATTCAATTTTCACAAACATGTTAAAAGATGCAAATTTTCCTTCGATTTGAGTAATGTTCAGGAGAAGAGATTATGGAATCACCCTTTTCTTTGAAAACTTTCATTAAGTTATAATATTAAGTTCCGGTGTTAAAATCTTTACCCAATTCTGCCAAAGAAATGTGAAAACGGACCCATGAAAAAATTATATGGGTGGGGGGGGGGGGGGGTTTCTCAGTACTCGGTAGTTAGTATTAAATGGGCCTGCTCTACATCTTGACTTTGTTTCCACACTGCCGCATATAAAAGCTCTTTCAATTTATTCTTCCCCCGATGAAATATGATGTGGATTTTCAATTTTTCACGTCATCGTCCCTTGTTTTGGATGCATGCACCAGATACATAGGACGTATCAATTATAGTGACTGTCCTTTTCTTCTGTGCAAACTTTGTAGCCTATTGCTATCAAGTTATGTGATCTGATCCTCGTACAAACACACCAGTGGCTAGAGGCCCGAGTCGATGTCACGTAAGATGACAGGGTCTGCACTTACCCCTTATACTTTCTCATGGAATTTATACCCCGTCCGGATGTGCCAGATAAGAGTAAAATTGATGTCGCCTCCGAGTTGCCAGCAGCGACTAACTTCCTTAATTGCGTTTCGGAAAAACTCAATGTATTCATGATCAGGTCGGGGGATCTGTGGGAGAACTGGTCTTTCTCATCTTCTTTTAATTTTTTGGCCGACAAAATCAGGCTTTTTTTTTGGTGAAACGCATCAAGAATGTTTTCACTGCCTCTTGGATGTTTGGAGAATGGAGATTAAAACCTGGAGCACTGTTCTACATGCACATGATGAATTCTCAGAAGAAGGGGTTTAAGAAAAGACCCCATTTTTGTTCTGAGCGTCAAGCAGAGGATAATTCCTGCCGTTGTAATTCTCATGAAAAAACATTGCATGAATATTTTAGTAGAAAATGAATTCATTCTCAAGCTACATTGTGATTTGCAATGATGTGAATTTGGAGATCAGCATCACTGCTTTTGATATGTACGGCAGTGCATGTACATGTACATGTACAGCTTCAGTACCTGCAAAGGAAATTTTAAAAAGAATTTAACAAAAAAGGAGAGAAGAAGTGTTTGAACTAGAGCAATAATGCAATTTCACTTTAATTTCAGAATTATGTTAGTTTGCTGGTAATCACATCTGTTTGATGCAAGATAAAGAGGATTTCTTGGACCTTGTCATGGATTTTACATTCAATTTCTTGACGTCCACTTACAAGTGCTGTCAAGAAAAACATTGTACAATTGGTTTCGGTTTATAAGACTCGATAGTTACCATGCAAGACTTTTTAAAACTACTCTATGTGCAAATTGCTCAACGTTGTCTTTTTGATCATGGGAGATAGAATAAAGAAATAAAGAAAGAAAGAAAGAAAGAAAAAAAAAAAAAGAAAGAAAGAAAAAAGACAATATGTACACTCTGATCCATAAAACTATAAATCAGGTGTGAATACACGGTAGGCTAAATTTAGCAGCAAAAAACAAACCCCTTTGTCAGGAAAGATCAAACCGACACACCTTTTGTAAGTAGTCCAACTGCTGATCATGTTTTTCACTCTGAAAACCAGACATCCTTGTACCCTGGTCTCCCATCAAGGGGCTTGTTATATCAGCAGAAAAGATTTAATAGCTCAAGCTAAAAGAAAATACAGGTTTGCTCTTTACTTTTGTTTGGCAACCGATTGATCGATAAGCAGCAGAGTGATAAATTGGGTAGTCTGATGTCCATACTGGCTATGATGTCATTTGTAAATAGGGCTTTTAATATAGTGAAGCTACTTGAACTTATGATATTGTAGGTACAATTCTGGTTGAGGAGTGGTTGGATGGTGGAAAATGTCTACTACATTTTCTTAAAGTGCATTGAAAAAGCTTGGGATTGTTTCAAGTGAAATTATTAGTGTTTTGTGTCTTGAAATGCACATACATGTACAAACTTGTGTCTTGAAATGCACATACTGTACATGTACATGTAGACAAAAAGAGGAAAGGAAAAATGTCTTACATTGTCCATCTTTTTCATTTTGATGATGAACAAAACCCCTATGCGTGTTCCTATATGGTAATAATGTTTTATAAAACACTGCAAATGATTCTACATGAATGCATCATTATCAAGATTCTTAATACTCCATTCTTGTAATAATGTCTAAATATCTTTAAGGCATGAGGAATGAGAGTATTGAGAAGTCAACAGGTTTAGACTTTCTGAGAGTGAAAGAATCCCTTTAGTAAATATCTGCTCATTAAACATGGCAACAACAAAATCGAGTACGTAATAGTATTTCAGTAGCAAGTATACCATAGAGCTTGTAATGCACTTCATGTTGCAGTATTAACATGAAAGGAGAAGATGGTAAAGTCTCACTGGAAAGATAATACCCGTTTGTCTCGAGTTGAGGTTTTGTAAAGATGTAGTGAGATGAAAGATGGAACATGGCGATGTTTTGTAAAGAAGCAATAGGCTCGAGTAGAGACTGAAGGACCTGACATTTGCTCATCAATAACAAACTAAATCACGCAGCGTACTCATGGTTGCTAACAACTGATCATAAGCTAGGAGAGGGATTGAGGAGGGAGGGAGGGAGGGAGGCAAAGAGAGAGAGAGAATATGGAGATCAAGTTCATACCCACTGTTACTGCTCACGTTTCATCGACAGTTGACAATGCTTGAATATATGTAACCATGGTAAGGCTATGGCTAGGGTCATATAGTTCTTCAAGGGTAGAAATATGTAGTGCTCTGTCTGCCTTAATAGGATTGGTGGGGGACAGGGGTTGATGGAGAACTCCCCCCCCCCCCCCAAAAAAAAAAGAAAGAAAAAAGAGGCGAACTAGATAATCAGCCACCCTTTGAAAATGAAAAATACACCAAGATTTACAGTCTAATTCCTCTTGGGTAAGGTACAAAGACCTTTAAAAGAATTCATGTACACTGTATTCTGTTTATTTATTCATGAGAGGCAAACATGGCACATGCAGTGACAAACATAGGAAGGATGAGATTGCAGTGCCATTGTGACGCTGTACTATCTAGACAGGGTTCCAATGTTTATGAAAGCAGCGACAGCGTTCTGTTTTCTCTTATCACTGGCATAACAAGCCTGTCGACAACCTTTGAATTAATTTTTTAATCTCTTGGGCCTCTTTTGGGGATTCCCTAGAAGAAAATTTAAGTAAAAGGGAGTTAAGTACGTACATGTATATCTCAGGGTGGGAAGGGTTGGGGGGGGGGGGGGGGGGATAGGGGGTATAATTTTCCCATCTCTCAATTTTAAGCATCGATACTCATCCTAGATCTGCAAATACAATGTACTAGGGGTACATACATGTACGAACTAGAGATGGGAAAACCATATATATTAAACATGAAGAACCTTCATTAGATTTCAGATTTTAAAAAAAGACTCTAGAGCATGCAGTGTATTAATGTTAACGTTCTACATGTACCTGTACATGTACAGTGTATGTCTATTTACTGTTTCCTTTGTTTGTTCTCATCTGTCTGATATGAAAATTGCATACAAAATATTTCGTCTGTGTGAAAATGTGAACACACTATAAAGCACGCACTCACACCCAAAAACAAGCCAATGGCAATACCAAGCAGTTAGACAAATTATTCTTATTCTTATTCTGTTTTCCTGTCAACCAGTAAAAGCAAACATAGATTGATTTGTGACCATGAAACTGCTCAATTTTCGTTGATATTCATTTTGATGAATTACTCTAGCTTCCTGTGGCTTTAGGGCTGCAAAATTATGGGCAGTGATTGCAAGTCGGGGGCTAAAATTTCCTCAGTTTTATTTCATTAGCGTCCATACATCACGGGATAGTTCCAGGCAGTTTTCTTTTTTGATGAATTGGAAATTATAATGGCCGTAATTTGCATTCTATGGAATGTTTTTTCCCATTTCCACCCATTCTGAATGAAATTAATTCACCGCTGACGTGTGATATAACGATCCCCCCCCCCCCATTAATTTCAGTCGTCGTGTTTTTAGCCTGACCATTGAATTTCACACCTGAAGTTGTTCCAAGGCATCCAAGCTACAAGTTAAATGTACATCACCTTTTTTCTTGTTGTGGGGGTGCCAGGTGTATTTCAAGAGTATAGGCCTTGGAGATGGTTCATAGCTTTGTTACTACAATACTAGTAGCATGTATCTGTATCACTCCCTGCCTGCCCCCACCTTGTGGTGAAGCACGTTCACTTCATACTTTCATAATCCCAGTGAGACAAGTTCATGACCTGCTATTAAATACCAGTATCTGTCATGTTGATCCTGTTTACAAGTGCACACTCTATTATATTACCGGTACTTTTTTCCCATTTTGTTCCTGGGGGGTAAATTCTATTCATTAT